AGACCTTGCCCACCCATCCCACACTTGACCCGGTCCCTCCAGGCGGATCCCGAGGAGCTAGGGAATTTCGTGACAGACATACAGAACGACAGACGACAGACGAAGCGCTTTATACATAGTAGTAAGTACGATACCACAATAGATAGCATATATATAGCATATTTGTTGGAAGGTCTAACTTCAAGATCTGAATTGACACTACATTGATTGGAGGATGGCAACAGTGTTTTCATTTCATAGGAAAACTTGAAACGAAGCCCCGGAAGCTATCCCATAGCAAAAGCATGGTGAACGTGTTGGGCTGGTGTCAGAGTACGCGATCCATTGCGCGATTCGCGCGAATCGCAAAATCGCAAGTGCCATTTGAACATTTGAAACACTGAATATGAAACAAGTAGAATCATGAACAGTCGTCATTCAACCATCACATCAAGCAGAAATGGCGGCGGGATTGGAGAGCACCTTGCAGTATTGATCGGGCACTTGTGATTTCTGTGACCCGTCGCGCGATTCGCGCGAATCGCGCGAGGGATCGCGGTCTCTGGCACCAGTCCTAGGTCTCAATTTGTGCCACCTGCGCCGCTAAAAGGACGCCATCGGGAAGGGTCTTGCAAGTATCGACTCCCCGTGCAACCTTGCCCGTCCACCGCGGTTGATGTGAGAATTAGCGATAACGCTCGCTGTAGATCATATGTAGCGGCTAATAGCACAAGATAAGATATAAGATCGAAGGAAGCAACCGATGTGATCATGTAGAAAAAAAACTCGTCCGGACACACCCCTTCCCTATCTAAAGGTGGAGAAAGAGGGAGCTCGTTTGAAGCGCAATCGAATTATAAAGTAAACAGCCGGAAGATTTGTCGCGGTGAATTGATATACTTACCGGATCCCAATGAAGTGACTCTTCAGACCCGTCTTCGTCCTCCTCAGCCTGCTGACTCTCTTCCTCGACATCCTGAATTGAAATGAATTAACCTAAAATTTATGGTGAAAACGAACGATCTGCTATCGAGAACATAAACGGCCACAGCTATCACAGCCTTTTGTTTGAAAGCCATTTAGGAAGGTTGTGGTTGGAGCGTCCCTTAAAAGCAAAGTTCGGGCTCAGACCCGCTCAAGAAGCCCTACCGTGGTTAGAAGTGCTAGGTACGCAACTGCAGAGGTAGCGCCACCTTTCTACATCGAAACGCGTCACTAACGCTAGACGCGCCCGGTCGCCATGAACTTCCTAA